AATGGATGCCCACAATAGCCTGAGCTAAAAGGATGCTATATAAGGCAGGCTTGTATGGTGGGGTGGTGTGTGGTGGCTGCCCCATTTTAATGATATGAATGAATGTAATAAGAAATATTATTTTAAAAAGAAAATATGTTTGAAATTGAAAACTGTAAAAAAAGAGATAAATATTGCAGCAGCAATTAGAGGAAGGTAATTTGTTTCCGAGCACCTAAAAAACTAAACATTAAACCCTAAACCCTAAACCCTCACAGCTTACTTGAGTTTTTGTGCTTTTTATGAAAATTTGTATAATATAGAATGAGATCTTGTGAAAAAGAAGTGTCCTTTGCCAGCCTCATCCTCCCATTACTGCACTTAGGACAGTCATGATTAGTAAAGTCTCCTAGCACCTCTTTCCTTCACAGCCATTTGCATATCTCTTCTTTTGGCTTGCTGCATATAGCATGAATGTAATCTAGTACAATTCCAGTGGTTAGAATGGAAATGGTCGCCATTTTGCCTTTGGATCACGTGATGTATGGTTTGCATGTGGTGCTTGTGACATATGTGACGTAAAATGGCAAATTTGCTTGGGGCCGGTAAAGTGTAATGTACCCAATAAATGTATTCATTGCATACCGTAATAACTTTTGAGAAAAAAAAATTAGTTTGTTGGACGTCAGCTTTCCATTGGCAGCAAGGGAGAAATGATAGAGAAAGGCTTGGTACCAGGAAACCCCTCTGTATTTCTTGATAGCAATTTTTCAGGTGACTACTAGATCCCATTAGATCCTCAGGATGCTTTCTAAGCTTCCGAAAAAAGCCGCAAGAAGGTATCAAGGCAAGAAAATGTGTTTTCCCCCATTGAACTCTTAATAAACTTGACGTCCAAAATGGCGGCCAATTTACTGTGTGGGTTGGATATACGGTACTTAAAAGCTATGAATATACTTAGCATGCGTATCCTCTATAACAGTAATAATAATAAGGGATTGGCGATTTCTCTTTTTTTGCTAGCAGTGCAAGGTGTTTATCCACTGCTTGTATTGTGTAATGAATAGGATCCTTTGTGTAACGCTAATAATGGTGGTACTTCTGTACATGTACATGTATTATCTATGCCGTAATTATCCTGTTTTTAACTTAATTAATTTGGCTTGATTAATTCTACAATTTACATGTAAGGTATATTTCATTATCCAGTCTTTTGACAGCAGTAGCTGCAGAAAAAATTCGAAGCCTTTCAAAGCCTCTGCTTGTTTATAGTTTATACTGTCAGTCTAGTTCAGCACCCACTATATAAACTTGAGGTCTTTGTAGACAATCCCTAACTGAACTCTTGATCACATTTATTTTAATGGTGCAAGGGGTTATGGGTTAGAGCCTCTCTCACCCTTTAAAACAGGGGATCCT